CAAGAAAGTGAAAAAATAATCCATAGATTGAGAGAAAATATATACCTGCTAAGGCTCTAATATCCAGGCTACCTAAAGAATTATTAGAACTGAACAATAAAAAGACAAGTTGCCTAATTTTTAAAAAATGGGCAAGGAATTTGAACATCTGTATATACAAATGACCAATAAGCACCTGAAAAGATGCTCAGCATCTTTAGCTATTGAAGAAATGACCAGGAGAAAAACTACAATGAGAAACCAGTTACCCATTAGGATGTCTAATGGAAAAGAGTCAGGTAGAGGAGAAAGTGGGACCTTCATACGTGGCTGGTGGGAATGGTGCAGACATTTGTATGACTTCACATAAAAACTTGTGTATGACTGTTAAGAGTAGCATTATTCAAAACAACCGGAAAGGGGAAACAACCCAAATGTCCATCACATGATGAATAGATAAAGGAAATTATTGTATGTCCATAAAATAGAATGTTATTCAACAATAAAAAGGAATGAAGTACTACATACTACCCAAGAGATAAACCTCAAAAACACTATGATGAGTGGAAGAAGCCAGACACAAACGGCCACGTGATGATTCCATGTACGTGAAATGGCCAGAATAGAGACAGAAAGTGGATTAATGTTTTCCAGGGGCTGGAGTTGGGGAAGAATGGGGAATAACTGCTAATGAGTATGAATACTGCTTTGGAGGCGGTGAAAATATCTGAAATTAGATAGCGGTCTAACAGTTGCACAACATGAAGAATACACTAAAAACTACTGAATTGTACATGGTGAAAGGGTGACTAACATTGCAGCAAAAACAGTTAACTGGAAGTTCTGTGAGTGTGGACGAAACCTTGACTAGTAGTAACTGTTGGGCTTCACTGTAGGATGATGAGGTCAAGAGGATGGGCAATTTTAATTTGGCTTCCAACAGTTGTTGTCTGTGGTGCTTTATTTGGGGCTTTGTTTATTTCCCCAGAAATGGATTTATCATCCCCCAGAATTCTCAGGACCAATAGGGAAAGGAGACTGGGGTCTTCAGTATTTAACACGTAGACATGTATTCATCCAGCTGCCTCAGTTTATTTCATTGTCCAGGTGTGCTCAGAGTCCCTGAATCCTAAGTCTTTCTGACTCATCCTCTCACGAGATGAATCTAGTTTCTGAAGGCATTATGAAGAGAGACAGTCACCAGGAAGCTGATAATTGAGGAGATCTGGAGGCTTACAGGTTTCATGTTATAAATACATTTCTCCCCACTTGCTCTCCTACGTGTTATGGCTACGGGATGGGATCAGCTTGTTTCTGCACTTTTCCCACATGCTGACGAAGACTGTAGCGTACTCTGGTCTGCTGAGTCAGTTACCACAATTCTCAGTTTACAGATTTGTGCTTCTATTGGCTCCCTACCCCGTCTCTCTTTGGATTTGTGAATTAATGGCCCTTTTTCTTCCCCATCCCTTTACTGTCTGAGGTAGGCAGAATAACAGTCCTCCAAGGAATTCTGTAGCCTAATTTGCAGGGTCTGTGAATATGTTAGGTTATGTAACAAAAGGAATTAAGGTTGCAAATCAACTGAATTTAAGGCAGGGAGGTATCCTGGATTATCAGGGTGGGCCAGATGTGATGACAAGGGTCCTTAAGGTGGGAGAAGGAAGCAGAAGAAGTCAAAGGGAACTGTGCAGGATGGGTCAGAGAGATGCTGGCTTGGAAGGTCCTGTTAGGGGGCCATGAGTCAAAGAATGTGGGTGTCTTTTAAACCCTTTAGAAACTGGAGCAGGCGAGAAGATGGATTATCCCCTAGAGCCTTCAGAAAGGAATAAATTTGTGTTGTTTCAGTCACTAAATTTGTGGTAATTGATTACAACAGCAATGGAAAACTAATACATCGTCATCACAGGCAGTTTAGAAGGTACAGTGTTTAACTTTCCATATTTGATCAGAAATCTTTCCCTTTACATTTCACGTTGCTGAAATTAGTTTACCATACTCTAAAATCTTCTCTTTGGCTTGCGATTTCTTTCAGTCTATCTTTTCTATCATGTTTATTTTTTTTAGCCATTTAATAGGGAATTCTAAGAGTCACCTCGTGTGGATCAATACAGACTAACCCCTGGTTTCAGTTCTGATTGGTTTTTGTGCCATAGCAGTCATTAAATATTTTCATCATTACACCTGGCTATAAACCACAACAACCCTTTTTCTACTGTGGAATTTAACTTAGAAGACTCTTTATTCAAAGAATGTTTTACTTTTCTCTTCACCCAACACCCTCTCCCCTCTTTCCCTCCTATACTTTGCATAAAACATATACTGGGTTTTGTAGCCATTGAGGTCTGCTGGGTGAATTTCTAGGATGCCCTTTTTCAAAGATTAGGGAATCCAAGTAATGCTTTTCTCACTGACTATAAGCTTCCTTGAAAATCATAACAGAAACTTCATAAAATTGACACCTCTAAACTTGGAAACTTAGCACTCTTCCAGCAATTTTGCAGCAGGATTCTCCGTTAAAAAATGATTTTAATTTGCCTCTATCCACATCAACATAAAATTTCGGTAGCTTAGAATCAGTATGATTTCTTTAGCATGCTATGTCCCTGGTATTATGAATCTGTTTCATAAATATGCAGTTTGAAACAACAGAAACCAAACAATAACAATAGAAATCAAAAGCAATCATAGTCTTAGATTCTAAGCCTTTCTGAATTCTAAAGCTGAACCGATACAGGGTCATCTTCTCAGGGTACCCCCGACCAAGAAAAACAAATACTTCAAAAACCAGGTCATATGTCTCCAGTGTTCATGTCTAATCCAGGCTCTGGAGTTGCATCCTCAAACTTGATTCCACTTTGAACCTTAGCTGAGCTACAGATAAACTTGAGCTTTTAATAAATCATTCTTGATTTAGTCACAATACAATACTCAAATTTTCTCTTCTGCTTTAGAAATTATAGTTTACAAATCCTTGAATATTATTTAATTTTGCAATATTCTCCCTTTTTCCCCAAATGCCACATAATTGAATTACAGTGTAAGTTATTTTGAAACTTAAGAAATTTATTATTATTTTCATTATTTGAATGCACAATTATTTTGATGCTAGAGCAGCTTTTGGGAAATAAACCATTCTTAGCATAAAATCTATTAACCCAAATCCTCCTAATCCAGCACGTTGAATAAAATCTACTAATAAAGCCACATTTTAAATGTTGCTTACGTGTAGAGAGAAGATGACATCTCAAAATTATTGCTGGGATATTTAAATTTTATGGGAAAATTCAAGGAGGCCCAGAGATTCCTGACAGGCATATTAAAATATCCAAGAATTTTCAAGAGCTGATTTCTTAAAGAAGTCTGAGATGAACCAGTTGGCTTCCAACAGTGTCAGTTTTCTGTAACCGCTTTACTCCCCTCCATGGAGCTGATAAGGCAGGTTGGAGCAGCAAGTCTCTTTCCACCCTGGTGAGGACACATGCACTGTGATGACCCTGTGCCTCTTTCTAGAATCTCATTTGGAGCTTCTGAAAATACACCTCTCTAAATATGTTAAGTCCAGAGGAGTTCAGACATCTGTCTTTAAAAGCTTCTTGTGATTCTGATGCATAGGAGAGAACCACTTTTTTAACAGCGGTGGCACCAAAGCTGGAGGAGAAGGATAAAGAATCCTCAGCAAGTCTGTCGAGAGCCTACCAGGAACTCCCCTATTTGGACGTTGATCAGATCTGAATTTTTCATTACAATTGGTACTTACTATAATGAGCATGTTCTATTTCTCAAACAGAAGCGAGCACATGCATTAAGACCTGTGTTTTAATTCCTAAAAAAAAAAAAATAGAATCACCTGCATTTCAAATTCAAGTAGCTTGCTTTGTCTAGCCTTTTTATTTTTATTTTATTTTATTTTTTTGAGCTGTGAGAATTTAGAGTTTTTTCTTCCAGTGTTATTGAGATATCATTGACACACAGCACTGTGTAAGTTTAAGGTGTACAGCAGGATGATTTATATTACATTATGTTACCTACATTATAAAATGACTACCACATCAATGTAGTGAATATCTCGTATAGATACAAAAGAAAAGAGAAAATATATTTTTCCTTGTGGTAAGCACTCTTAAGATTTACTGTCTTAACAACTTCTATATAAAACATACAGCAGTGTTAATTATGTTTATCATGTTGTACGTTATATCCCCAGTACTTGTTTATCTAATAACTGGAAGTTGGTGCCTTTTGACTGCCTTCATCTAATTCCTTCTTCCTCCATCCTCCACATGCCCAGCCTTTTCAAATTTTATTTTTGAAATCAGTTTGGATCTTAGATTATTTTGACTATATTTTGTTTTCCTAATGATGTTTCTCAATTTTATTCAGAAATAAGATGCCCACGTGGATAGAATTTTATTAGTGAGTGCTTATGAGTGCATCCTTGAAGGTAAAGTTGAGAACTTTTCACCTTGCCAAGTGGAAGTTGTGTATCTAATGATTAAGTGCTGAGCCTGTAAGACAGTGTCTTGGGCCTGTATCCTGGGTGGAGCTGTGTGAGCCTGAGGAAGGAACTTTTCTAAACCTCAGTTTCCCCTTCTGTAAAAGAGAAATGTCTTGCCTTGAGTGTTCCCAGCAGCTGACTCTGTGATGGGAGTTTGAGTGCAAGTACTTTATTTAAAAAGTGGAGGAAAATAAGTAGGAATGAGTAAAAGTGAGACAGAGGGGAGAAGGTAGCCAACAAAATGTGTGTTTTGAGGCCATTAACATGTGAGCCTTGGAGCTGAAACCCACTGGGGAAATTTTGGAAGTCAGTGCAGTTACTGGACAAGGTTGGGGTTAGTGGATGGAGGGTGGGGAAGATACCAACTCATGTCAGACTTTGGAAGAAGGCTGCTCTCTACAGGGTGTTAATTCCAGCCTCCTTGCCTACCACATAAGCTAGTACCTTGGGCTTTGGCAGTCAGAGAAAGCCCTTGGGTAAAGGTTGAAGAAATGCAGTTGCTGGAGATTGGAAGTTGGACAGTGTGCACTGCAGCAGGAAGGAGGAGGGAATATGGGTGGGACAGCATCAGCCCTTATTTCACAGGGAAATAGTTCATTGGGAAAATTGAATGAAGTGATGCATATCAAACACGTACAGCATAGTGAATACTCACTGTGTCGGTCCCTCAACCTCAGACTGTCTATAAAGGTTTACCTACTAATTTTCTTAAATATCGAGTGGCTGCTTTCTTATAATCATCAACCTTAACTTGGATATTTTTGTAACAATGCAATAAATGAATGATTATTTGAAACACAGTCTTTAAAAACCAAACAATAAAACAATTTCCATAGTTATAATCTATTCCTGGTAGCATATTAAGGTGACAAGGGAGTCGTGAAAATCACTACGTTTTCCCTCTTTTATGTACTCTCCAAGACCTGTTTAAGAAAATAAAAAATAAAAAATAAAAAATGTTGTGTTCTTGCTACTGTCATACAGCAAAGTCAATATAGCAGCCAAAGAATAAGCTGTGTTCCATTCTGTCTCATCCATCAGCCAGATCTGCCCCCTGAGTTCAGACATGCTGTTATTTGAGATAGTTGATGATATATGGGTCTACAGAATATAGCTGGACTCCCAGTTACAACTCAGTTGATGGCAAATCATAGTTTGCTTTGTACAGAGAGGTAAAATTTTACAAAAGATATTGATAGGAAATGCAGAGCAGCAAGATGCGATTTTAACTGTCCGTTCTGGGCTATCGAGAGCTTCAGAAGACATCGTTTGATCTGCTGTTGCATGACAAATCTCTAAAAGAGAAAGGAACAGTCTTTCTTTCAGTTCATTGGTAAGACATTTAACTTCCTAAAGGCCAAGCTGTTAGATACCGTGGATTTTTACAGCATGGTTATCTCCATTATTGATTGGCAGGAGTCTTGCTTTACATGCCCAAAGTATGAAAGAAGTTTATCTGGTCCACATACAAGTTAAGTGAAGGTTTCAACAAAGCTTTAAGTTAAGAAAGTTTCTGCTGTCATCATCTGTTCCCTGGACCTAAGCAGTGACAGTGACTTGGAAAGTTTTTCGGATCTCTGCTTCATTTTGCCCTGGGAGCAGAGTTTCCTAAGGCTCATTGGTAGGGATGGAGCTAAATTTCTCTAGTCCTGGTGAGAAGTTCTCCTCCTCCATATTTCAATCTTCCTTGCCTCTTTACTAAACCTTTTCCAAAGAAAATCGGTGATGATATTAGATATCTCTTTGGCGTAAGTGCATACCCGTCCACGTTTTCATGAAAAATGAAGAACCGAATACATGGAATTAGATTCTTTGGTTCCTGTTTTTCTTCCTGGGAAGGCAAATAAATGCACCAAAGTGAGAAACAGCCAAATCCATGTCATATCGTGCAAACAATTTCACCATGAGAGCAGATAGCTCTTGGTGTAAAGTCTGGTTTAAAATGCTCAAAAGATTGTGGTAAAGCTAATAGATGTTACACTGAAGCCATATGAATCCTGAATAGGATTAAAATATTTAAGAAAGCCCAGGAAAGTATTTGGAGAATTATGTTCTGTGTTCCTGAGATGAGCATAGGTAAAGGAAAAGTGTTTCATTAACAAAGGTAACGTGTACACATTTGATGACACGATGAGGAAGATACCACTTGATTGTATTAAGCAGATGTTCTAAAGAAGGTGTTGCTCTGCTACTTAAAAGAGACAAAACGTACAAATTAAATATGCAGTTTGCTTTTTATGAATATAACTAACCACTAAGATCAGATTTGAACATCCAAAGACAAATCCCCTGAGTACTGAACTTAACCTCTGGCTAATGCACTATGCATACTTGTCCTTGTCCATCTTGACTCTAGAATCTCAGTTTCTTTCCCCTCATCTCATTTACCTGCACAGTAAATAAATACCTGGAGTGCTTCCCTGATGTAGGATGTGTTAGGGGTTGTATGTATAAAGAGCATCAACAAACACACTTGTGCTCTTTGATCTGTGAATTTTTAAACAAGGAAGTAATGTAATCAACTTTGTTTCTCTACTATAACTCGCATGACCACATACACTGTGGATGATGGTTGGGACTGAAAGGACGTGAGAAGGGGTTCCTGAAATTCAGAGATGAGATTATCAGCTCAAATACAAGTCATATAAGTGAAAAGAGATTAGGATGGATAGATTGGTGAATGATTCTACATTTTTAAAGAGAAAGATGGCATTTTTGCTTCCATTTCTCTAGAACAAACAAAAAAATTACACATAGCAAAGACACTAAAATGTTCTTTTGTGGAAACTTCAGAGGGAAAAATAAAAGGGCACCATAGTCATTTCTTAGTCCTTCTTGAGTCATGCTGGGATCTAATAACATTATTTATGAGGTCAATATATGTGGTAGAGCACCAACTAATTATATGATTATCCTTGAGAATAGTTTTGCTGATTATAATTAATGTAACTTAGTGCCTTATGGTTTACAATGTGCTTTAGGATATATTTTCTCATCTGATGTCTCCTTGGTGTCCACATAAATATGCCAACTTCTCTCCCATGTTGTGTGTTTGTTCAAGCCGTTCCTTTTGCCAGGAATGCTTCGACTGTACTCTTTCCCTGCTTACCTTGCTTAGCCTGAAAGTCTTGGCTTAACTGTCACTTGCTCCTCCAATCTCAGTTGTGTCCTTCTATATACCCTACCATAATACAGAGGAGAATACTTTTCCTTCAAAACACTTACTACTACTTGTAATTATGTACTAATATGTCTGATTCTGTTGTTAACGGCCTTCTTCTCTACTCCGTGAGATTCTTGAGGGGAATGTTTTGTGCCCTGTTGTATCACCAGCCCAACCAAAATGTCTGGCATATAGTAAAAGATAAATAAATACAGTTTTAATAATGTAGAAAAATGATAAATGCTAAAATTCCTCTTTGTGTATGGAAGACATCAATTCTTTCACTGTGTTGAACTTCTGTTCCTCTCAGTGTTTTTTTTAAGCACCATTGTTATTAACACCATACTATATTGCAATTTTTCTGAGTCCACTAGAACATGAATCCCTTGAGAAAGTTTAATCATGTCCAATTCATCCTTGCACTCCATCTTTTTAGTTCAGGGCATAAAATAGAGTAGGTACACAGTTTGCTGACTGAATGAGTCGGTGAGACCCAGAAGGAAATTGCACACCCAGACTTAAAGTGAAGGAGGCTCACCTGCTTATAGTAAAGTGTTGGCTTGAGGGTCATCTCTTTTAACACACATCTGGGAGCCCACTGGAACAGTCCCCAGCGAAGGGACTAGTGGGTACCGCCATCGAACTTTCCTCTCCCCTGCTCCAGGCACTAGTATTTCTCACAAGGGAGCTTTTACATGCACCTACTGTCCTGCTCTTTGTGGTTGCAGCCCAAGGGACACTTCCTGACTGCCTGACTCTGGAGGTCAGGGCTGATGGTGTTCTTTGTCCCATGGGACTGCAATAACCGTCTCACCCAGAATTGAGGTCACATTCCTGGTTTTGCAGCTACATCCCAGGGGACTGCATCACCTTACTCTGGCAGCCAGTGGGGCTTATGCTTGTGGGTCCCATAGGACTATACCCAATGGAGAAAAAGTTCTTAAACAGCTGCCATCCCGAGGGCACAGGAAGAGGCAACAGACACAGGAGATCACTTTTTCAGCGAGGGAAGCCTTTTAGCTAATTTTCATGGCTGCAGCCTGAGGGGCAGTCTTCTAATTAAACAAGTGCCTAAGGCTGACTGTAATTCTTTCCAGAGAGAGACCTTGAAGGGTGGGTGCTATCTTTGTGGTCACTCTCTGCCACACTCCTATCTCCTGGAGGGGGGCTTTGATCACCTGACTCTGGTGACCAGGGGGCCTTGAGTCCCTGGGTCCCACGGGGCTGTGGCAGTCAGAAAGATGGTTCATGGCAGGCTGCCAGCCCCCAGGGCACTGTGCAGAGCAGTACAAGGCATGCCCCACAGTCTTTCTGCGAAGGAAGCCTCTTCTCTTGCCTTAGAGCTTCATTTTGAGCAGTAGGCTTCAGGTTTGGCTCACGTCTACGGGACCATGGAGCTGTTTGTATGCAATGTAGGCTGGGGATGACATCTTGCTTTTCTCCCTCTGCCTTGCACCAGGACGCCCATATCTCCCACAAAAGAGCTTTTACATTCATCTATCATTCCAGTTTTTGCAACTGTTGGACCGTTGAACCTGAACACTTCCAGATTGCCTCGCTCCGATGGCCAGTGGGGCTTACACTTGCAGTCCCACAGGACTGATATATTTGCATACACTTAGAAGCTGCTGCCTGAAGGTCTAGCTTCCAAACAGTGTGAATCTAGGTGCTGAGATCCTCGCCTTTGGGATGCTGACAAGTCTTGGCACATCCTCAACTATTGGGAGCTATTAGAGATAGAATAGCCTGTTTGCATAAGCATAGAAGTTTGGGAGAAGACAGAGGTGCGGCAGGACTGAATACAAGGTTTATTTCCTGCAAGAGACCATTCCTTCAAGACTGGGAGAAGTGGTTGTTTCATGTACTGTATAGAAACCAATACAGAAAGTCAAGGAAACCTACAAAACAGAAATATGTTCAAATTCAAAGAATAATATAAAACCTTAATGAAGCAAAGATAAGTAATTTACCTGCTAAAGAGTTCAAAGTAATGCTTATAAAGAGGTTCACTGAGTTGGTGGGGAGAAGAATGGATGAACACAGTGAGAATTTCAACAGAGATGGAAAATATTAGAAAGTACTAAATGGAAGTCACAGAGCTGAAGAATGTAAAATACCCTAGAACTGAAAAATACCCTAGAGGGGTTCAATAGCAGACTAGATGAAACAGAAGAAAGGATCAGCCAAACACAAGGTGGTAGAAATCAATCAGAGCAGTAAAAAGAAAAGAAAAGAAAAGAAAGGTCAAGAGAGCATAAGGGGTTTATGGGCCAATATCAGAGTGACTAATATTTGCATTGTAGGGGTCCTAGAGGAGAAGGGAGGAAGAGAGGGGAATACATCTTGTTTGAAGACATTTCCCTAACCTGGGGAAAGAAACAGAAAACCAGATCTAGGGAGCTCAGAGAGTTTCAAAAAGAAGAACTCAAAGAGACCCACACCAAAACACATTATAATCAAAATGTCAAATGTTAAAGACAAAGAGAGAATATTAAAAGAAGTGAGAAAAACAACTTGTTACATACAAGGGAATCCCCGTAAGAGTATCAGCAGAAACTTCGCAGGCCAGAAGGGAGTCCAATATATTCAAAGTGTTGAAAGGAAAAAAAAAACAAAAAAAACCTTCGAACCAAGAATATTCTACCCAGCAAGTTATCATTCAGAATTGAAGGAGAGAGAAATCATTTTCCAGATAAGCAAAAGCTAAAGGAGTTTATCACCACTAAACTGACCATACCTGAAATGTTAAAGGGACTATTTTAAGCTTAAAAGAAAAAAAGCTAATTGGTAACAAGAAGACATGAAAGAATGTATCTCACTGGAAAAGTAACTATATGGACAATGTAGTGGATTCCTCACTTAGGAAGCTAGTATGAAGGTTAAAAGACAGAAGTAGTAAAAAAAAATAACTATGATGACAATAATTAATTAAGGGATGCACAAGATAAAAAGATAAAGAATGTAATATCAAAAACATAAAACATGCTGGGTAAAGTAAAACTGTTCTAAGAGGGACGTGGGTAAATAAATGTCTACCTCAAAAGACAAGAAAAGTCTCAAATAAACAACTTAACTTTACACATCAAGAGACTAGGAAAAGAAGGACATGTGAAGCCCTGTGTTAGTGGAAGGAAGGAAATTTAAAAAGATTAGAGCAGAAATAAATGAAATAGAGCCTAAAAAGACAATAAAGAAGATCGATGAAGCTAAGAGTGAGTCCTTCGAAAAGATAAAGAAAATTGACAAGTCTTTTAGTTGGATTAAGAAAAAAGAAGACTCAAGTAAATAAAAATCAGAAATGAAAGAGAATATATTACAACCAATAACACATAAATACAAAAGATCAGAAGAGACAACTATGAAGAATCATATGCCAACAAATTGGACAACCTAGAAGACATGGATAAATTCCTAGAAACATACAACTATTAAGACTTTATTTTGATGAAATAGAAAGTCTGAATAGACTGACTTGTTTTTTGGGAGGATTTTGATTACTGATTCAATCCACTTACTAGTAATAGATTTCCCTCTGGGGACATTTGTCAATACCGGGGACATTCTTGGTTGTCACAATTGGGGAAGGGCTACTAGCATCAAGTAGATAAAAGCTAGGGATGTTGCTATCCAGCCCCAAATGTCAACAGTGCTAAGGTTTTAAGGTAATTCAAGCTAACTTAATTTCACATATATATGTTGGACTACTATTATATGCAGGACATTGATAACACAGCAGTAACAAAAGTGATATGGTTGCTATCCATAAGGAATAATGATATTTGTAATACCTGAATCTTATATAATGAGTGCTTTATAAATTAGTAAAAAATCATAAAATCGTATTAATTAGAGGAGAAAAATGAGCTTTAAAAATATGCTTTCTCTTTGATCTTTTAATTTCACTTATAAAAAATTTGAAGGGAATAATAAGAAACTTGCACAGATTTGTGTACAATATGTTTTAATGAATTGTTATTTATAGTAGTGGAAATTTAGAAACAATTGTACAAAAAGAAGGTAAAATAAAATGTGAACATTTAGTTGGTGGTCTGTTATGAAGCTTTAAATATTCACATTATTGAAAAATTCTGATATGAAAAAATGTTCATTTTGTAAAGCTAAATGAAAAACACATGACAAATCTCTAAGTACTGCATGATCCTAATTTTTAAAAATGTATATGGGGGAAAGACTAGCAGGAAATATGCCAAAATGAGTTCTGAGTGGCTTTCTTTATGGTGTATTGTGAGCAATTTTAATTTTTTTCTTTACAGTCCAGGTACGTTCTAAATAATTTTAAATGAACACATACTCTTTTTATAATTAGAAAAAAAGGCATGCTATATTGAGTACTACGTGCAATCCCCTAAATTAGTATAGAAGAAACGGAGATACGATTTTTCTACCCTTAAGAGCTTATATATAAAATTAGAGAAATGAATGATACATATGTGGGAAGTTTATAAATAATAATATATATAAAGGTTAAAAAAATTAAGAAAAACTTATTTTGAGTACCTGCTAGTCTGGCACTGTGCTGGGTGCATTCACCAACATTACTACATTTCTTGGTACCAGTAGTCCTGTGTGGCTCATATTATTATCTCCTTCTTAGTGAAAAGGAATTTGAGGTTCATTGAGATTATCTTGTCCCAGGTCACCCACAGATATGAAGAAGTAGTTTGAAAATTCAACCCCAGGCTTGATTTCATTTTTGTAAAAAATGATTATTTCTACCTTGTGTGCTCTTCCATTAGGGAGACACAAGAACAAATGATCATAATCATTAACCCAAGTATTTCAGTGGAATCCATGAAAACTCACTCATTTTTCTTGGAAGACTCAGGGGTTGTTCTCAATCAGAAAAGCTGAAAAGCATTTTTTTAATTCTTTCAAGGACTAGTTCAGTGAATGTCTTATATGCTCAGTGAGTTATGAGTACAGAATTTTTATGTTTCTGATACTTAGCTGCTTTAAGAGACATAACAGGAATCTGCATAGCAATCAGTTGCTTCTGCCAGAGGGGAGTTCTTAAACACCAATGGCGAAGCTACGATGCATGATTAATGACTGTAGCTGGATTACTTTTCAGGCCCGTCTCCTTATCTACAAGTGATGTAACTTGGCAGAAAATCAGAAAATGGGTGTTTTAATCAATCCTGCTTTCATCTGTGACAGATCTCTGCCGGAAAAGGAGTGGGCAGTCCCGTGTCCTTCCTCTCCTTTGTCTGTATTACAGAGTGTTGGGCTCCATTTTCTCTGACACAGGAGAAGAATTTATTCAAAATAATGATCCTCATTTAGATAGAGGAGTTAGATCTATCACTCTGCCCAGACAGCACAACCAGATCTAATTCCCCCCTCTATTAGGCTAAATAAAACATCAACCTTGTGTCTGCTACCGAACAATGCCAGCAGCTCAAGATTTATTAGTTTGTTTAAGCCCCCATTACAAGAAGTCTAGAATTTCTTCTTTTGTTTAACTCAGAACTTTAAGCAAGCCAAAGTTCTTAGGAGTAGTAAAGTGGGGAAAAAAATGTAGGATGTGTTTTATTTAAGAAAAAAAAGACATTAAATAGTTTATTTCACTTTAACTTTTATACATTAAAATTCAATTTTATGATCATTAGTTTCGTTGTTTTAAGGACTATCTTCTTTTCATTTCTCCTGTAATGTGATGTTAAATGACTTGGGAAATAGAGAGTTTCTTTGCTGTCAGAAAAACAGGAATTTCATGTGGAATTTTTCGAGTATATTTAGCATGCTGATATGAAACATTAAATTTATTTTCATATTATTACTAACAAAGACATTATTTGGGTGTGTACCTTAAACTCTGAAAAATAAATATGATTCCCCTCACTTTCTAAATGAAGACACTGAGGCTCAAAGAGTTTAACTACATTATTCCAGATCACATAGTGGTAATTATTTAATTTCGAATTCTAACCTAGTCTTCTAAATACAGAAATTCCATACACCATACTCGTTCCATAGACCATACTCACTCTTATGTCAGTTAGAATTGTCTAAGCCCATGAAAATGTGTCCATCACTAGTCATTGTGGAAATGCAGATTAAAACTACTTCACACGCATTAAAATGGGTCTGTTATACAAACAATCAGAAAATAACAAGTGTTGGCAAAGATGTGGAAAAGTTAGGACTCTTCTGCATTGCTGGTGGAAATGTAAAATGGTGCAGCCATTGTAGCAAACAGTATGGCAATTACTCAAAAAAAGAAACACAGAATTCCAGCAATTCCACTCCTAGGTATATGCTCCAAAGAATTGAAAGCAGGGACTCAGACAGATACTTGGACACCAATGTCCATAATAACACTATTCACAACAGCCAACAGGTAGAAACAACGTCACGTCCATCAACAGATAAATGCATAAGCAAAATGTGCTATATACATGCAATGGAATATCATTCAGCCTTAAAAATGAATGAAATTATGATCCATGCTACAGTGGATGAACATTGGAGATATTATACTAAGTGAAGTAAAGCCGACACAAAATTATAAATATCATATGATTCTACTTATGTGAAGTACTTAGAATAGGCAAATTCATAGAGATAGAAAGTAGAACAGAATTACCAGGTGCAGGGGGTGGGCAGGCAGGGAAAAACAAGGAATACTTGTTTAAGGAGTATAGAATTTCTCTTTGGGATAATGAAAACGTTCTGAAAATGGTTAGTGGTGATAGTTGCACGATACTGTGAATGTACTCAAAGCGAGTGAATTGTGCACTTACAATGGTTAAAATGTTATGGATATTTTGCCACAATTAAAAAAAATTGTTGAAAATGATAAAATTAGGGTTCATGAAGCTATCACTGATATGAGAGGTTAGCTCAGTGTTTGCATGATAATAAGGTTGTATTCAAAACAGATCAAGTTGTGAGAAATACTGTGAGAAGTGCTGACTCTGTGGATAAGAAAATGTCTGGACAGTGAAAGACAAGATAGACACAGTGATACAATTTACCGTCTCTAGTCTCATGCACTCCCCCAAATTTGAAATGGAATTCAGCCTAGCAGTACTGAGATGGAGGTTCCGTGTACAGACTTGAGGCTATGCAAACTGGGTGTAAGAACTGGATATGTGTGTGAATTTAAAGCTCCTGATCCTGGAGTGACTCTAAAAAGGAACTAAGCATGCCAGTTTGAGGCTCACATGATCCCTCTGTGTGATGTGGCCCTTGCGTTTTGTTCCTGGGCTCTGATTCTTAAGTCATATTATTATCATGAATTGTCAACCTCACTCCTCTGAAATGGTAAATATGCTTCCATTGATGATTATGTAGTTTATCAACCACAGGAAATTTTAAATTAAATAAAGAGATGAGGAAGTATATTAACCCAAGATCACTTATATTTTGAGTTCAAGGTCTGGAATAAACTTTTTAGCTCCTGAGGTAGCTTTATAGGGTTGGTATCTAAAGAATTTATAATGTTTAATAGAACCTAAGTGAATGGATCTGAGTGTAAATTAAAATGTGCAGTAGATTTTGGAATTGAGCTTTTAAGCTAAAACTATACCTGAGAACTTGACTAAGTTTGTAAAAATACAAAAACTGGAGATGCATTTTATTTATTATCATACTTCATTGTATTTACAAGACTGTTTTAAATGTATAGACAGGTTTTCCTTATTATGGCTTTGATTTCAAGTTGTCAGAAGGTTTTTTTAAATGCTTTAAAGATAAAATATATAAAATTTCTAAGTGCAGCCGAAAATATTCTGGAAAATGTAGTTTACTAAATTCATCAATGGGATTAATTATTTAAAGTAATTCAGTCTATTCAACTCGAATTCACTGAACATTCATCAAAGTAAAAGAGAAAATAGTTGCTCTTTGCTTATTAGTTTTATAAATAGTAGAATAAGATTTCTTAGTGAAATTAAAAGCTTATGAGAAGGTAGTTTCCTTTATAATTACAACTTTAATGAAAGTTATATTAATTTAAAAACTAAGTAACTGGACGTAGTTTTTGCCATGCACAAAGGCCCCTTCAAGACACTTAAGAACTCGCACTGATGATCTTGATATGAAAGCTATACTAAAGCAATGGTTCTCAGCTCTAGTGGGTACACTTTTGCTTTGGGATCAAGTAAATTGCTATAAAATAATAATGTGCCTACATGACCAAAGTGTACAGATCATTTACATTAAAGGATGGAGTAGATGCTCCGTTATTCCTGTAATAACACTGACCTTCTTCCTTGTTTTACTGCATGCTTTCTTCAGTGGGAGCATTTCTGAATTACAGTGCACTGGGCTATGGAACTATCATCCACAAAGATTCCCTGCCCAGGAGCAACCCCAAGGACTGTGGAATGACTAGGAGAGAGAGATGATTAAGAAATGGGAGAGTAAGGCAAAGAAAGAGTTCACCAGGCTGTCCCACTCTCTTTGGTTCCTAGTGCAGAGAGCCATTGCTTGCTGGATGTACCTACATGAATATTTCTGTGTTTCTGTCTGTGCCCATAAAGGATCCAAGGATGAGGACCTGATACATGGAATTTTAAGGCAGGAAACATTTTGCCCCAATTTTTTTTGATTCTGGTTTTGTATCATTCAATAGGAGTCAATTGAGTACAAACTGTGTCTACCTCTGAGTATTCATTATTTAAGAAAATTTGTCTTAAGAGTGGACAAAAAGAAAGCACAGAATAGGCCTTGTATATAACCTCTAAGCAGAGTGCACTGGTAAATATTTAACAACCAGACATCTCGGGGACAAACAAACAAACAAACAAGAGCCTGCTATGCAGCATTGGCCAATGTCCCTGTTGTAAATAGTCTCACCGTGGCCAATTTCAAAATTTCAGCATCAGCTCAGGTGGGAGCCGGCTCCAGCAAACCACTTCATTTAAACTTTCACTTTTCCATTCCTGCTCCTTTATTCTGGAAGTTGATCATGCTGAAAAAAAAATTTTTTTTAAACATATGTATATGATGCTGGCTCATTTTATTTCATGGCTCATGACCATGAATCCCAAATAGACCCTTAGTCTGCCAGGCAGTTGTACTAGACATTCCTAGTCATTTGCACTCCCACTGTTCTAGATAACTATTTTTGTATCTTTACTGGAAACAATGCCTCTCCCATTTTCACTCTCAGCTTACTCGCTTTCTTGGTTTCACTAGGAAAAATAAAGCAATCAGACCAGGAGCATTACAGACTTCCTCCATCCCAGGACCCACCTTCAAACATCTGTACTCTCTTCCTCCCTGTTCCTGTCTGCTTCTGCCTGAAGCCAACACTGGCATTTGTGGGTCAGAGTTCATCCTCTGTTTTTCTCAAGTCATCACTCCTGTAATTCTCCCCTACTCTCTCTTAAAGCATCAGTTTCTTGCTTTCTGCTAGATCAATACTGTCTACCGAAGTGTTACAATTATTATCATTTTGTTAAAACTTCTCTCAGCCCCACTACCTCCATCAGTTGTTGCTCCATTTCTTTGCCCCTGTTTTAGTAGAGTTACTCCTGAAAGTTACCTGTACTCTCTCTCAAAACCGCTGCTTTCTGGCTTTCATTATCATCTCCTCTCCACCAAGAGTGCTCTTACAGAGATGGTATAATGTCTCACTTCTACCCTTTCACTGTGCTAAAGATCAACTCAAAAACTCCCAGGATCAGCACCTCTGCCTGAGTCTTTCTTTCCAGATGCTCAGGAAGTCACACTCATGGGAAGAGGAAGTGAGAAATACCAGGGAATTAACATCACCCACACTCTCCCCACAACAGTGTTAACTAATTCCTGGGAGTGTAAAATACACCGCCTCTTGCCTCCCAGGAAGAATAATCCTGAGTGATATTTTATTAGACTCTTTCCCAGAGTTTTCTTATGGGTTGGAGCACCAGTGGTCACATGTTGCTCCATAATGCACACTTATTGGCTGCCTTCTCTTCTCTTTCTTACATCATTTCTCCACTTCACTACTGACATTCCTGAACCTCTCAAGTGAACTCGTTCCTCTCAAGTTCTTGTTTAAAGGTGGCTGCTGCTGGAGCCAAAACGAGCACCCTCACGAGTGATCTCCACATCACCAAACTAAACGATCAATTTGCAGATTTCTTCTTTTGGGGGCTTTCACTCTCTGTCTCTTTTCTTTGTTCTGTTTCTTCTCACCACTTCTATGCTTGGAGTGCTGCAGGTGAGCCAGTCCTGGGTCCTCTTATTTCCCCTGTGACTCTCCAGGCTTTATAGGCCACCTCTATGTCAATGACTAGCAAATTCATATCTGCAGCACAGATTTCTCATCTGAATGTCACGTTCATATACACAACCAAGTACTAACATCTCCACTCTGATGTCCAATAGTCATCTGAAACTCAGGATGTCCAGAACTGAACTCCTCTCCTACCCACCTCCCGCCAAACTTGCTCCATTTACAATATTGCCCCATCTCATTTAGAGCAATACCAGCCTTCCAGTTATCCAGGCCAAAAGCCTTGGGTTAATTCTTGACTTTTGTATTTTTCTCAGCGAGTCTTGGTTGTAGCTTAAAAATATATCCAGAATCTGAATATTTCTTACCACCTCCACTGCTCTCATCCTGATTCAAGCCATCATCACTTCTCACCTAGACTGCCTCCGTAGCCTCTTAACAGGTCTCCCAGCTTCTGTTCTTGCCCCATTGCAGTCTGTTCTCAACATAGAAAATTGAGATATATTTTTTAAAATATATATTTGATCATCAGTCTACTGCTCAAAACTATACAAAGGCTCTCCTATGTCCTCTGGACTGGAAGCCTGAGACTCTTTCCTTTCTGTGCATTTTTTAACCCCACCTCATTTGACTGTTCCCTCTTCCTCCCCAGTCCCATTTCCCATCTCACTCTGCTCCACTCTTGCTTCCTAGCTATTCTTTGAACACAATTGGAATATTCTTGTCTTAGAGCCAAGGTATAGCTGCTTCCTCTTGTCTGCAATAATCTTCTAGGTGAGTCCTAAACCTCCCACCAGGACATTTTTAGACTTTGCTCTAAATGAATTCCACCATGACCAGTGTAAGCCTGCAATCTGCCCTCTCCTATGCCCACACTTTGATTCCCCTTACAGTGAACCACTTTTTTTAATCTATCAAATTTATCATTTCCAACATACCGTCTAATTTACCTCCTTATTGCTTACTGCTTATTGCTTACCCCACCCTGTATGCCCTCCCCCAGAATATCAGGCCAATGAGAACAGGGACACTTGACTGTTTTGTTTACTCACATATGCCATCTGTTGAATGAATAAATGAATGACCTCTTGGGAGGAAAAGATTGATTAATTCAGTAGTCTTCTCTCCAGTGTCTCGGGGTGTTGATTTTCAGGCAGTCTATTCTTTTAGGATTTCATTTAACATTACAGTAACAAGAAATATCCTTTTTGCTGTCTTCTCAGCACAAATTCAAAACTTCAACAACAACAAAAATGTGTATTTGTTGACATATGAACACCAATAGTTCTCAGATATAGATTTTATACTTTTAGGGTAAAGTTTTGTATAACTCAGTGGTTGTCAGTGGCTGGGGGTGATTTCGTCTCCCAGGAGATATTGGCACTGTCTGGAGACATTTTGTTTGTCCTAACTAAGGGGAGATGCTGTTGGCATCCAGCAGGTAGAAACCAGGGATGCTGGTAACATCCTATGGTGAGCAGGACAACCCTCACAACAAAGAAGTATCTGGTCCAATATGTCAAGAGTATTAAGTTTGAGAAAACATGGTGTAACCTAAAAATTCTCCTAACAGGCCACTGATTCAATACATCTATTCAACACAAAATATATTTAGGGCCTGCTCTCTGCTGGGATGTATCAGTGACCCAGACAGTCCTGTCTACATGGAGCTTATATTCCAACGACAGTCCTCAAGCTAACAAAGCAGGGAACCATTTATGTAGTTTTTACTAATGTGCCAGACACCAACTCATTGAAACCTGAAGACAATCCTAGGGAAGAAGGTGTTGTGATCTCCATCTTAAAGAAAAGTGAGGTAAAGAGACGCAGAGCAAACTGCCCAAGATCATACAGCCAGTAATGAGCAGAAGAAGGATGTGAACCTCAGCGGGTTGGCCCCAGACTGTGCTCTTCATCACTGCATTACAGCAGCTTCAGATACAAATGCGGGAATATTACCTGTTAAATGACAAAACAGGTTTAATGTTTTTAATTGATCTGATGCAATGTTCCCAGAGCTTTAGATTCCAGAAATCTTTATTATGATTCCAGATGTTTTAGCAGTTTCTGCTAATAGATTAAATATTCAGCAAATATCCATCATATAGAGTTGAGACATCAAATGGGAATATGGAGAAGATATCCGTCTTCACATT